AGACAAGTGAAGTCAATCTCTCGACAACCGTTCTGCTGGAAACGGTTACACTATCACTCCTCTTTCTGGCCTGGCCTATCTATCTACTCTTTACCCTCTTATCCCACTGCCGCCCTATCACAACTTTTCACTTGTTACATTCCAATCGACATGGTCTCCCTGAAAACAAGACCAAGTTGCGACAACGAGGTCAACCCACTTCTATCAACCGAAAGGAGACTGCGATCACACCAGAGGCCACAACATCTTGGTCTTCATATATGAAATTAAATACTGTTATAAATTTCAGGTTGAACTATTTGGAAATCTCCATCAAGAGTCAAAGTTCATCCTCGTTACAGGCATCGACAATTGTCCTTGGATGAGATGCCATCTTTCTCCTGCAAAGAACTGGACAAATGGAATAAGAGCTGTAGCCATGTAGGATCCAGTGATTGTCTCAAAACCGACTAATTATGAATGCAGATGGAGTAAGCATAGCTCTGGCTGACCTGCAGATCTGGAGGCCGCGGATTCTCCCACATACATACAGTACAGCCCTCTACACCGATTTATGTTTGCGTCTTTGCACATAGATACTTCCATACTTCTGTCTATGTTCGTGTGCGCCTGAGTGTCTATGTCTTTTGTTCTCCTTCCGTACTTGCATGCGTGTTTGTGTTTTTATGCGTACGGATGTATGTGCATGTATGTGCGCACATATAAATATGTATGGGTTTGTATAGATATGCATGAATGAATGTATGAACGTTTATATATTTATATATGTATATATGCATGCGTGTATTCATACACGTGCGCTTGTGTGTGTGTGTGTGTTTTGGTATGCGGCATGGTGAGTGTGGTTGAGCGTTTGTAGGGGGCATAGTATGTGGAGTGCACAAATGCGAGTGGCAGTAGCCGTGTCGACTGCTTCTCAAATTACCTGGCAACCAGGCATGCAATTGACGTGAATGCCTTCAGCCAAAGGTGAAGCAAAGTGAAGCAAAGAGGACCAAGAAGTCTTGAAGTCTCGACAATTCCGCTGTGACGCCTCAGATTGCAAATGGCATGCTCAACCGGGCGAGTTGAAGTTGCTTATTACCTTAAAAACGGGCCGCGAGATGTTCACTGTCTCGATAGGACAGCGACAATCGTGAAGAGAGGAATACTGTTTTGGCAAGCAGACATAGTAGACCAACTGGCATGCACCAGATTTAACTTTTAAAACCACGCCTCAACAACGAGTTGGAAACCGGTGTGCCAGATCATCTGTGAGGCGGGCTTAACCTATCCGGCTTGCTCTTCAACCCAAAAATATTTAGAAGGGAAGAAGTAGGGTCAAAAATCTAGTGAATGCTTATGAAAGGAAAACGTAAATTTCATTATTTATTACGAATAGGCTCACAATATGATGTCTCATGGTGTGCACATACAAAAAGTGGCCAAGCCAAATACAGAACAAAGTGGTTTAAAAAAAGAGAGTGAAAATGGTAGCAATCTATGACTCAGTTCACACGAGGCTAGGCACATACTCCTGATTCTTGATCGTATTTTATTTTCATAATATCCAAGTTGTCATTGCTCTTTATGACCTCCATATTTCTTTCTAGGATTTCTCTGGCATACCTCTTACTAGGGAAAATTCGGTTCATTTTGTTCAACTCTTCGTCTTGTTTTCTGATGATTAAACTCTTCATTATTCCGATCTTCAGTTTGTAGTTGTGATGAATATAGAAATTAAGAATTATTCCCACACGTGATTAAGTCTCAGATCTTCATGGTCATTTACTCCAACCGGATACGCAAGATGAAACTATTCAAAAAGAAATCACATGTGGGAATAATCCTTAACTTTCAGTTTCATCACAACTACAGATTGAATGCTGGAATAATAAGGAGTTTGATACTCAGAAGCCTAAGACTGACAGACATGGAGTTCTGAGACAACGGGTTGAACAAGGTGACTAGGATTGGCCTTAGTAACAGGTAGCCGAGAGGAGACACAGAAAGGAATATAGAGGTCATGAAGAACAGATTTCAACCTGGAGCGTATAAAAAGTAAAAGCAGAAATCGGGAGGACGGCCAAAAGTGGGTGTGTCTATCCTCCTGTGAACTGAATTAAAAATGTCTGCTGTCACAAATAAAATGGAATATCAAGGTGATAACAAAGGAAAAAACAACATTCTTCACCAGTCTGTCAGGTCAACACAAGAAAGTTGAGAAATCGGATCGCTTGTGAGTTTATCGCATCAAATGCGAAAATTGCGAAAAGAAGCATATTGGTGAAACAGGAAGAAGAATCAGCCTAGCACCTAAGGAACAGCAAACACTCTGCAGAAATATGGGCGCAAAAAGATCTGAAATAATGGAACCTATTGTACGGACAGAAGACGAAATGAACCGGAAATCGGCGGACAAACTGGCTGCATATGATGATGAGGATACAAGGGATACAAGGACATCGATATGCTGACTGAAAGAAATCTGAGATTTGAAGAAAACCAGATTAGCGAAAATTTTGCATATATTGCCTAAGCAAACTGGGAAGATATCAGGAAACAGCAAATTCAGCAAAAAGAAGACAACCAGAGCAAGAAAATATTTTCAATTTCGGTGAAATAAATGGCGAGGAAGAGGCAACAGAGGAACAATCGGAAACCATGAGGAGACGTCTGCAGTGAGGTGGCATCGATATGCTGACCGAAAGAAATCTGAGACTTGAAGAAGACCAGATTAGCGAAACTTTTGTATATTGCCTAAGCAAACTGGGAAGATATCAGGAAACAGCAAATTCAGCAAAAAGAAGACAACTAGAGCAAGAAAATATTTTAAATTTCCGCGAAATAAATGGCGAGGAAGAGGCCACAGAGGAACAATCGGAAACCAGGAGACCTCTGCAGTTGGCTAATAGCAGACGGGTTCATCATAAACGTGGTCCGAGAAGTAAAGGCTTGAACACCAGATTTACCCCATGCAGATGCCGGATTGGAATCTACAGCGTCAAGTTAGTTTTGCATCCAGCTTGAGAGTGCACACTTTGCGGGCCTGCCCATTAGGGAATACAACGCCTCGGGTAGCACGGATGTGTGGACGGTGATTGAGGGAAACCACCGGAACAGGAAGATAATA